CATCTTGTAATGGCGTCTGCAGGGACGGCAGGCGGCTCCCCACATGCAGTGATTTGGTAAGATTTACTGGTGTCACAAAACAGGTAACCACAAAATGAGAACTACACTGTCCTTATAGCACAGAGCTTTGATGAACTTCCCGTCTGCCCAGTGCTGGAGCTGAACACAAAATAGAACTGAATGTAGGACTCAGAACATGGGCCTTCTAGTTATGTTGTGAATAAAAGAAAGGGCCTGGGGCTGCCCACAAAGGATGAAGAGCAGGCAGGCACTGGCATGAAACTTCCACCCAGAAGGGACATTCCTTGTTTTAAGATTTATTTTTATTATGTGTATATGAGTGTTTTGTCATCTTAAATGTATGTGTACTATGTGCGTGCCTAATGCCTGAGGCCAGAAGAGGGCATCAGGTCCCCTGGAACTGGAACTACAGATAGTTGTTAGCCACTATGTGGGTGCTGGGAACAGAACCCAGTTGTTGCAAGAGCAGCCAGTGCTCTTAACTGCTGAGCCATCTCTCCAGCCCCTCCACACTGCTGAGGCTGAAGAAAAACCGCACTCAAACTACCTTCAAGAGGACTGAAAGGAGTGAACCAGAAATACTGGTGAGCTGCGAGGGCTACACCAGTAACTAGGGAAGCTGACTCCGGCATGTTCTGTGCACTTTGACTCTAACGGGTCTTCGAAGTTTCAGCTCAGTGTGGAAACCATAGAGGACCTGTGCATTGGATCCCCTAGAATTGGAGTTACGGTTGTTAGCCACCATGTGGGTGCTGGGATTTGAACCCGGGTCTTCTGCAAGAACAACCAGTGCTCTTAACTGCTGAGCCATGTCTCCAGCCCTGAGGGGCATGATTTATAATAGTCTTTAACCCTCTGAGCCAGACTTGGCTCTAGTCCCTAGCCTGTAGTCTCAGCTGATGAAAGGACGTGGTACAGCTCTGAGCCAGGTGCCCTTGGGTCTGGAAGGCATAACTACTTCATGTGGTTCCTCTGGCCAGATTGAGACCTGCAGGCACAGACTTAATGGAGAGGGGAAACCCACAGCAGCACTAACAGTGGCTGCAAACAGGTAGGGGGGCAACTAGGGGCATGTTCAATTGTACATATGAGTTCTAGGGCTTGATCCCCAGCACTGAAGAAAAAAGAAGCAAATGGATAAAGGTCTTATTTAAGCTTTCCCTACTTCTAAGCTCAAGAAAGGTAGGGCTGCTACCCTCAAAGCCTTCAAAGGCCTTTCCATGGTTCCTGGGTGCAATTAGACCTGGAAGAGAGATCAGTGACTCATCTTGCCACTGTATCCATGTCAAGTATCTTATCTGCCAAGTAAGCACACAGCTGGGAGAGACCAAGTTTAGGGTTTTATTATGAATAGATTATCACAAAGTTCCATACTGCATATTCAATTAAGGCAACACTGTGTGGCTTCAGTTTTCAACAGCAGGGATGAAACAAAATCCTGGTTCTAACTTCCCTAACTCAAACAGCTGGGCACCTAATGGAAGGTGAGGCTGCTTTCTTTAGCCCTATCTGGGCCCCTTAATTGCTTTTAAGACCTCCAGGACAAAATCTCCCTGATCTGGTTTGTTGGGACGGCCAATTCGCTAAGGGAAAGCACTGTGTTCCAGATACTCTGTGGAACAGTCCAGCCTGTTTGTGAGGACTCTAGACCAGGGCACTGTTCCTCTGCCATTAGGGCTAAATAAGCACGCCAGCATCTGAGGACCTCTATTCGTTGATCTCCTCTTCATCTTCGTCCTCAAAAGCCTCTTCCCCGTCGTTGACCGTGGCGTCCTGGTACTGCTGATACTCCGACACCAGGTCGTTCATGTTGCTCTCCGCCTCGGTGAACTCCATCTCGTCCATGCCCTCACCCGTGAACCAGTGCAGGAAGGCCTTGCGGCGGAACATGGCCGAGAACTGCTCGGAGATGCGCTTGAACAGCTCCTGAATGGCCGTGCTGTTGCCGATGAACGTGGAGGCCATCTTCAGGCCCCGCGGCGGGATGTCACACACGGCCACCTTGACGTTGTTGGGGATCCACTCCACGAAGTAGCTGCTATTCTTGTTCTGGATGGCCAGCATCTGCTCGTCCACCTCCTTCATGGACATGGGGCCACGGAAGACAGTGGCCACGGTCAGGTAGCGGCCGTGGCGCGGGTCGCAAGCGGCCATCATGTTCTTGGCATCGAACATCTGCTGGGTGAGCTCGGGCACCGTCAGTGCGCGGTACTGCTGGCTGCCCCGGGCTGTGAGCGGGGCGAAGCCGGGCATGAAGAAGTGCAGGCGCGGGAAGGGCACCATGTTCACGGCCAGCTTGCGCAGGTCGGCGTTGAGCTGGCCCGGGAAGCGCAGAGATGTGGTGACGCCGCTCATGGTGGCCGACACTAGATGGTTGAGGTCCCCGTAGGTGGGCGTGGTCAGCTTGAGCGTGCGGAAGCAGATGTCATACAGCGCCTCGTTGTCAATGCAATAGGTCTCGTCCGTGTTCTCCACCAGCTGGTGCACCGACAGGGTGGCGTTGTAGGGCTCCACCACTGTGTCCGACACCTTGGGCGACGGCATGACGCTGAAGGTGTTCATGATGCGGTCCGGGTACTCCTCGCGGATCTTGCTGATGAGCAGAGTGCCCATGCCGGAGCCCGTGCCACCGCCCAGCGAGTGCGTCAGCTGGAAGCCCTGCAGACAATCGCAGTGCTCGCACTCCTTACGCACCACGTCCAGCACCGAGTCCACCAGCTCTGCGCCCTCGGTGTAGTGGCCCTTGGCCCAGTTATTCCCGGCACCGGTCTGTCCTGCAAGACAAGACGCCGGAGCCCACGATAAACACACTTTCTCAGTATAAGAGATTATCTAAGGCTACTCCAAGTCAGAGGAACAAGAAACAGGAAACAGGTGCCCATCACCATAACTGGAAGGCAGATGAATGAGTGCCTGCCTGCCTGCCTTCCTTTCTTCTCTTTCTTTCTTTCTTTCTTTTCTTTCTCCTTTCTTTCTTTCTTTCTTTTCTTTCTTTCTTTCTTTCTTTCTTTCTTTCTTTCTTTCTTTCTTTCTTTCTTTCCTTCCTTCCCTCCTTCCTTCCTCCCCTTCCTCTCCTTTCTTCCCTTCTTCCCCTTCCTCCCCCCCCTCTTCCTCCCTCCCTCCCACAGAGGGCATCAGATCCCCCAGACCTAGGGTTAGGGATGGTTGTTAGCTGTGATGTGGGTGCTGGGACCCAAACTCAGGTCCTCTGCAAGAACATCTCTCTAGCCCCAATGAGTGGAGCTTTAGACAGGTCAATTATGTATCCAGACAGCTGGGGCCTAGCTCACTTGAAGAGGCACTTGGCATGAAGAGACCCTGGATCCAAATCCCAGGACATTATGTGAACAAACAATAACTCTATAAACAGAATTTTAAGATACATTTGTTTTATTTTGAGACAGTTTCCCTAGGTTGATCTCAAACTTATGTAGTCCCACCGGGCCTCAAAGTCAGGATCTTCCTGATTTTGCTTATTAATACTGGGATTGCAGGCCTGTGCTACCAAGCCAGGCTCTGATCTTTTTTTTTTTAATATGTTTCATATTATTTAATTATTTGTGTATGTGTGTAGGTTTGTGCTTGTGAATGTAGTGCTGGAGTTACAGGTTGCTGTGAAGCGCCTGATGTGGGTGCTGGGAATTGAACTCAGGTCATCTGGAAGAGCATTATGCTTTCTTAACTGCTGAGCCATCTCATCTCTCCAAAAACTTTTTAAAATTTTTTTAAAAGTAAAACTTAATAATAATAATAATGATGATAATGCCCATCGCAGATGTGATTCCTGCTCTCAAACTATTTCCAGTCCAGTTGTGGGAAGGAGCCTAACATACCTGAAAGATTTTTGTGCTTTATCAACAGAGTTCAGGTAGCAATTAAAAGGCCTTCTAGTTACTCTGGTTCTTTTTCACAGTGGCTCATTTTGCCAGACATATTTATTTACACCTTACTTTTCTATTTTGGCTCTTAAATAAAATGCCTTTCACATAACATTGCTTTGAAAAATGTTTTTTAAATTGCATATCTATTTCTAATTCTTCATAAACAGTTACAAATGACATAATTTTAATAATTTGGTTAATTGTTCCTTTAAAAAATCTTACATACTGTTAAGTATAGCTAATAGAATTTATAAAAATCAGAAATTCAGTAAGTGGAAATTCATTGTTTTTTAATATTTATTATTTTATTTGTATGAGTGTATTGCCTGCATCTATGTAAGTGTACCCATGTCGTGCAGTTTCTAAGGAGATCAGAAGAGGGCATCGGATCCTCTGGAACTGGAGTTGCAGGTGATTGTTAGGGGCCATGTGGGTGCTGGGAACTGAACCTAAGTCTTCCACAAGAGCAGTCCATGTTCTTAACCACTGAGCCATGGCTCCAGCCCTAGAAATCCATTGTTTTTAACTTCTATGCTTACAAGGTGTTACAAATATCTATGTACTTTTGTACAAAAAAAATGAATTATGTTCTATGCCATTCAATTTTTAAGACTGTATTCTGTGTTATATGTCAAAAGCCAAATAGTGCCAAGTATGGTAGCACATGCCTTTAATCCCAGCACTTGGGAGGCAGAGGCAGGCACATCTCTGAGTTCAAAGCCAGCCTGGTCTACATAGTGAATTCCAGGACAGACCAGGCTACACAGTGAGACCCTGTCTCAAAACAAAACAAAACGAAGCAAACAAAAAAACTGTAATTTCCCATCAAAATGTATCTGCAAGGGCTGGAGAGATGGTTCGGTAGTTAAAAGTACTGGTTGCTCTTGCAGAGGACCTAGGTTCAGTTCCCAGAACCCACATGGTGGCTAACAACTGTCTATAACTCCAGGTCAAGTGGATTCTTCTGTTCTCTGGGGAAATTGCATGCATATTGTGCACATACAATACACATGCATCAAAACACTCATACACATAAAATAAAAATAAAATATTTTTAAAATGTATCTGCAATGGGTTAGGCACTTGGGAAGCAGAGGCAGGTGGATCTCTGTAAGTTCAAGGCCAGCCTGGTCTGTATAGTGAGTACCAGGCCACCCAGGGCTATATACCAAGACCTAGTCTCAGGGGGAGAAAAATATTTACAAAACAAGACAAGGTGGTTCACACCTGCAATTCCACACTTGGAAGACAAGTGTACCTAGAAAACATCAACCATTTACACATCTGGCTAAGGGGATCAGTTAGGGTGCAGGGCTTCCTGTTCTCACACCACATACTTGTGCACTGTGTGAACAAAGCGTATGCATGCACTGAGTTTTCACTCTGTGATGAAAACATCAAGCACATTTCAATACTAGAGTCAAGTTTCCAGAATATCCACCTCAGCCTGACCACAGCAGCTTTTCACTCTTTGACTCTGCCAGCCTCAGGAGGGCACTCAGTCTCTCACTCCTGCCATCTATGCCCCACTGGGCCTGGTGAGGCACCAAAGCCATTGACACAGTGGCCTTGTGGCTCCGCAGTGGCCTGGACAGACACCTGCTCCGCAACCACAACACACCCAGCAGGCACCAGCCCCTCCAGCCTCTCCATAGCCATTTCCTTGCTCTGATCTTCATTGGCCCAACATTGTGATGGGGCTCTTCTCTCTGAAGAATGGAGTTCTCTTTCCTCCTGTCCAGCTGTGCTGCCCAGTGAAACCTGACTGGTTGCTTTCTCTGAGCAGATTCTAAAATGATCCTTGTCCTTCCTAAGCCCCGCCACACACACACACTTGTATATCCTTCCCAATCTAATCCAGCAGGCAGCAACCAGGCAGAACCCTAAAATAGGCAATGAAAAGAATAAACCCTGGGGCCAACTTGATTCTTGAGGTCTTGGAATCAGCGTGGTACTTAAGGCTAGCCTTGCACAGGAAACTCAGTGAAGAACCATCACAGCTTTCCAAAAAAAGGAGTGAGCTCTCTGTCAATAGCCTTGGAATGAATCATTAAAATAGCAGCAACCTGGGGCTGGAGAACTGGCTCAGCAGTTAAGAGCACTGGCTTCTCTTACTGATGCCAGGTTCAGTTCCCAGCACCTACAAGACAACTAACAACCATCTGTAACTCCAGTTCCAGGGGATCCAATGCCCTCTTCTGACCTCTGTGGGCATTGCACACACATGCTGCAGCTACATACATGAAGGCAAAACACTCATGCTCCCCCCCAAATAAATAATAAATTTTAAAATTATTTTTTTTTTAAAAAGAGAGAGAGCCAGACTTAGTGGTGCACACATTTAATCCCAGCACTCGGGAGGCAGAGGCAGGTGGATCTCTGTGTGTTCAAGGCCAGCCCAGTCATATAGTGAGTTCCAGGCCAGCTGAGCTTACAGGGAGACCCTGTCAAATTTAAAGAAAAAAAAAATGCCAGCAGAAACCTCAGAAGATGGCTTCAGGTGAGACACAAAACCCTAGTAAATCAAACTTGCTTGTTAGGTTTACATAGCCTCGGACTCCTGCCTCAAGCTCAGGTCAGCTACTCAGATTCTTCCATATTGACAGCATGATTAGCCCCAAAGTTTTCTCTACTCTTGAAAAAAAGAAGGAAGCTGGTGACTTCTAAAAATATTTTGCCACTGTCTCATAGCAACAGACATTCCCACTTAAATATTTGGGGGTCATAAGTTGAACATCTACAGTGATACATCGCGGCATTAATCAGTGACTCCAGCTTGTTAAACACAGGCTGCAACCCTGAAACTTGGCAGGCAGGCTGCAGACACCGAGGTGTCCTCAGCGTCCTCCCACTGGTTTACCTCCAGCTCAGGCGGGTGAGCCTTCTGGCTCTCCATGCTCATTGCCTCCTCAGCTAGCTCCAGACTGGAGGAAAGTTAGAAATTCACAAAGGGGCTTTTAAGGAAAGCACCTTTGTCTGGCGCTCAGCTTTCTTCTCACAGTCTCGGCATGACTGCTGTGCAGTCAGCAATTATGAAAAGCAGTTCTGAAAAAGCACAGTTGTGTCTCTGGGAATGCAAATGCAAGTAACTTTCACTTTTAAAATTATATATCGCTGCTGCAACTATGCTGTTTGAACTATTTCAAACTATACCTGAATAGTTTGAAATACACAGGGTTATTGATTCGGTCTTTTGGTGCTGGGGATGGGAATTCAGGGCCCTCCATTCACTCTCCCACTAAGCCCTGCCTGACAATGGTCTATTTTAATTTACCAACTCTAACTAAAACTATGAACCAGTGAGGATGAATCATCCCTACAAGCCAGCTCTAATTCACAGACAATTCTGTCTGCTTCATTAATTGGAGAATAACTTAAACACATTTTCTAAAAGCCAAACACTACAATCCGAATACCTCTACACTGTCCAGAACAAACACATTATTCTAACAAAATAAGTATTTTATCTATTTTTTTTTTTTGAGGTAGGGTCTCCCTGTAGCCCCAGCTGACCTGGAGCTCACTATGTAGACCAGGCTGGCTTTGAACTCACAGAGATCCATATGCCTCTGCCTCCCAAGTACTAGGATTAAAGGCATGTGCCACCACCCCTAGCTCAAAATAAGTACTTTAAATAAGCTATAATTTTGTTTTGAGAAGGGTCTCATTCTGTAGCTCAGGTTGCCCCTAATCGCACTATGTAGATCAGGCTGGCCTTGAATCCACAGTGCTCCTCTCTCCCTGTTTCAGCCTTCTGAGTGCTAGGATGACAGGTATGAGCCACCACACTCAGCTTGTCTTAAACAAGTCACAATTCTTAATTAAAAATAATGTCCATTCCTCAAAACTACAAGTAAGGATAGTTTATGTCAGTACAACTTGTTAAAAATTTAAAATATCAGCCGGGCATGGTGGCGCATGCCTTTAATCCCGGCACTCGGGAGGCAGAGGCAGGTGGATCTCTATGAGTTTAAGGCCAGCCTGGTCTCCATAGTGGATCCAGGACAGCTGGGGCTACAGGGAGACCCTGTCTCAAAAAGACCAAAAAAAAAAAATTTTTTTTTTAAATATCCTGTGGGGGCTAGACAGCTGGCTCAGCAGGTAAGAGTACTGCTGCAGAGGACCCAGCACCCACAAAGCAGCTAACAACCATCCATAACTCCAGTTCCAGAGGCCTTCTTTTGGCCTCTTCAGGCAGTGTACAACATGGGTGCATGTACATACATGCAGGCAAAACACTCAATACACATAAAATAAAAAATAAATTAATCAAAAGAATTCAAATATTCTAAACCAAAAATAGGGATATTTGGTTGGGAGTACACCTCAGTGGCAGTAGAGCACTTGCTAAGGCCAAGCTCAGTCCCCAGCACTGAAAAAAAAGAAGCTGAGGATATGGTCCAGTGGTTAATTAAGAGTGTTTGCTGCTCTCTTACAGGACCCAAGTTCAGTTCCTGGCATCCACAGGTCAGGCAGCCCACAACCACCATAACCCCAACTTCAGAGGATCCAATGCCCTTTTCGGGAATCCTCAGGTACCTGCACCCGCACGTGCACACGCGGGCACACCCCCCCACCCCCCCCACATTAATTAAGTAAGAAAGTAATTTAAAAAATGAGGCCAGGTATGATGGCTTGCACCTTTAGTGCCAGCACTCTAGAGGCAGAGGCAGGTGGATCTCTGTGAGTTCGAGGCCAACCTGGTCTCCATAGTGAGTTCCAGGATATCGAGCGGTATGTAGTGAGACCCTGTCTCAAGAGCAACAATAAAAAAGAAAAAAGCATGAGTGTCATGAGCTATGTGTGGGCTTCTTTCTTTTTGACACCAACACTTCATACACAGATTGGCTGCTTTCAGAGTTGTTTCTGTGGTTCCTATAGAGCGGGCGCTTCTATTTGTTTATTTTTGTGGTGCTGGGGCTCAAACCAGGGCCTCCTATATATGAGGCAAGTGCTGTACAATTGAGCCCCAGCCCCGGCCTGATAAAGCAGTTCTCAAAGTGCTAAGTCCCTTCTAGAATAAGTACCTAGATACCTTATTTCTTTTAAAAGTTTAATTGCAGGCAAGGGCAGAATTAAAACTGTGCTGTGGTGTGATTAATCCAATTGGAAAGGCCATGATCAATGATAATAAAAAGTTATAAATGTCTGATTTTACTCTAGAGTATCTACTCTATAATCAAAGTCAGAAACAGAACTTTTGTGAGCCAAGATGTTCAGTATTATTTTTTAAAAAGGTTTATTTGCCCAGTATGGTGGTATACACATTTAATCCCAGAACTCAGAAGGCAGAGACAGGCAGATCTCCATGAGATTGAGGCCAGTCTGGTCTACAAAGTGAGTTACATGCCAGCAGGGGCTGGAGAGCTGGCTCGGCATTTAAGAGCACTTGTTGTTCTTGCAGAGGACCTGGGTTCAGTTCCTAGCAAACACACATGGCAGCTAACAACTGTCTATAACTCCAATTCCTGGGGATCGGATTCCCTCTTCTGACCTCTGTGGGCATTGCATGACATTGGTGCACTTAAATACATGTAGGCAATACATTCATACACATAAAATAAAAAACAAAAAAATAAAAAGTAAGCAAATAAATAAACCTTTTAATTATTTATTTGTGTATGAGTTTGTGTGTGAGAATGTATGTACATGTGTGTATAAGTGCAAAGGAGCATGTCGGTGTCCTCCTCTATCACTTTCCACCCCTTCTTTTGAGGCAGGGTCTCTTTCTCTGAACCTAGGACTTGTGTTTTTTTCTCTGGAATAGAAGCCAGCAAACCCCAGAAATCCTCCGGTCTCAGCACACCTTGGAGCTGGGGTTGTAAGTGTCCATAGATGCTGGACTTGTTATGTGGGTGCTAAGATTTGAACTCCAGTCTTCATGATTGAGCGGCAAGTGCTCTTAACCACTGAGCCATAGCTTCAGTCCTTAGAATAGTCTTTAGTTTGTTTGAGACAGGGTCTCACAGAGCCTAGCCCAGACTGGCTTCAAACTCTTTAATCTTCTGCCCCCATATCCCAAGTGCTGGGATTACAGGTAGACATCACTCTCCCATCTCATTACAGTGTTCTTTGTGGGTATTTGTGTATGTGTGTGTGACGTGTAGAGGCCAGAGACCAATGTCTGGCATCTTCCTCAATCTCTCTCCACCTTGTACTTTGAGGTAGTGTCTCTCACTGAACCTGGAGCTCACCTATTTGTTGAGGCTGGCTGGCTGGCTAAGCCCCAGGTATTTGCCTATCTCCACCTCCCCAGCACTGGGTTCAATGGCCTGCATGCTGAAGTGGGGTCCCAGTTCAGACCCTCATGCTTATACAGCAAGCACTTTACTGACTGGAACCATCTTCCCAGCCCTTCATTACAGTATTCTTTCTTGGAGCAAAATTGCTTTCCTATCAAATAATTATTGATTATTGGCCATTATAAACTTAAGAATTACACATTAGGTAGCTATTAAAAACTATAGACCTTAAAAATTGCACATTAACATGGAATATGGTGGTTTATAATATATATAGTGAAAATACACAAACAAACAAGCTACAAAGATAACTCAGTGGGTAAAGTACTTGCTGTGAAAACCTGAGGAACTGAAGTTGGGTCCCCTGGGATGCATGTAAAAGTTAGGTATGGCAGCATAAATCTGGAACCCCAGCACTGGGGTGGAGATGGGAAGATCTTGGGTTTGTTGGGCCAAATAAAGCATGTCAATAAAATGTGTTTCATGGTGCATAAAACACCAGGCAAAGGTATTAACCCAGCACTCAGGAGGCTGAGGCAGGAAGACTGTGAATTCAAGGCCAGCCTAGGTTAACAAGAAAGAACCTATCTCAAACCAAACAAAGGGGCATGGAATGCATTTAACCATATAGCTCTTGCCTAGCATGTTCAAGGCCCTGGGTTCAATTCGCAGCACCACGATAAATAACTAAAAATGAAACAATGAAAAAAAAAAGGAAGAATGGGGTTGGAGAGACGGCTCTGTGGTTAAAAACAATGGTTGCTCTTGCAGAGAACCTGTGTAGGCCCTCAGGACCCACATGGTGGCTAATACCTCTTGGGTTGGTAACTCCAGTTCCAGGATTGGATGGCCTTTCTGACCTCTGTAGACATTGCACACATAGGGCACTTACATACATGTAGACAAAACACTCATACACATAAAATAAAAATGCATAAATTAGTTGGGTGTGATGGTGCATGTCTTTAATCCCAGCACTCAGGAGGCAGGTGGATCTCTGTGAGTTCAAGGCCAGCCTGGTCTACATAGTGAGTTCCAGGCCAGCTGAGGCTACAGGGAGATGCCATCTCAAAAAGACCCTCCCCCAAAAAACATAAAATAATTTTAAAAAGGATAGAACCTACCAAAGATGAAGTTGTCTGGCCGGAATAGCTGCCCGAAAGGCCCAGACCTCACACTGTCCATGGTGCCTGGCTCCAAGTCCACCAGGGCAGCCCTGGGCACATACTTCTGAGCTGGAGAGGAAAAAGAAGTCCACCCACAGGAGTTACTTCCAGGTTTTTGGAACAATCAACTTCCCCCAGCTAGTGCTACCTGCTCAGAGATGTCTGGCAGAGATGAGCCAGTGTCTTCAGAAAGGACACTGTGACTTTCTTTGAGTCACAGGATCTTAACCTTGGGACAAGGAACCAGTTCACAAAGAGGCCAAGTGAGACACCAGGTCTCCTGACTTCTTCCTGCCTACTGTATTTTCCAGTTCACCCCAACACTTTTCCTGTTAGGCAGCCGTACTTTTCTAGTTACGTGCATGAAAATAGTGTCTACAGCAGCAGACTGGCATTCCATCTGTTTTTTGGCCCTAACCCCATGCATATACATATATGCACCCAAGCTGCAGTCTGAACATCTACTCCCAGGTACCATCTCAGGGGCTCTTTGTCCTTAGAAATGTGCTCATTTGAGTAAAAAATGTGCCTGTGTAGCATTTCATGACAATTGAGAAAGCAGCGAGGATGGGGCTTGCAGGATCTCTAATAGAAAGTGCTCCCTTATTCCTTCTGGCTTTGCACATGCCCAGATTGAGGAAAAGATATCATCAAGCTGGTCTAAGAGTTAACAGGAAGTGGAGAGCACACTGGAGTTTCCCTGAGTGCCCCAGAACCTCCCTGCATAGGTATTCCAGGCCTATGTCATAGCTGCGTGTATGCACATCCCATGAGTCATGTTTAATGCGCTTCCCAGCTCTGTGTGGACAGGTAGGAAATGACTCTAAAAGCCTGATGATTTCAAACTTCTGAGAAGAGTGTCTTAGGTACACATCTAATGTGTATGTAATGAGCTGCCTGTCATTTTCCAGGTGTTCTTTCAGTTCCTTGTGATACAGTTGTTTTGCACAGGGCAGTGTGTGTGTGTGTGTGTGTGTGTGTGTGTGTGTGTGTGTATTGCTGCAGAAATAGTGTTGATGTGTGTTCACTATATAGACAGGACAGGAAAGTTATTATTCTCAAACCTGGATTGCCCAGAGTCTGGAATTTGACGAATCTCCCCCACTGAAAATCCACAACTGTCTGCAGTTTCAGCATCCAGGAAATGTATTCTTAGGCGAGGGATCAGAAAAATCATTTGAGCGAGTGTTTTTCAAACTTTAAGACGCATTTCTAATAAAAGGTGCATCTTTAACTCTCTATTCCACCCTGTGTATTCCACTCTGTATTCCATTCTGCTCCATTCTTTAAAAGCTTAAGAAAAAGATGGCCAGAGAGTGCTAAAACTGATTTCATAACACCAACGGATTATCTGTTTTTAAAAAACCCAGACCCTCGGGATAGGCGGCATCCCACAGTTTGAATTATTTCCCGCCCCAGGGGGAGTGAGGGAGTGGCCCGGCCTCCAGTTCCATCCCGCCAGAACTTTTCCCAGAGCAAACCCCGGGTGCGAGCGCCTCCCCTGCCGCGTCAAGGCCGGGGTTCGGGCGTGGGGACTGCGGGGTCCCTGTCCGGGCGTGCCGGGGAGGCAGCGGGGAAAGGCCGGGTGCCAGAGGCCCGGCGCAGGCGGAGAGGGCCGGCGGGGTGCTACTCACAGGATGACTCATTGTAGTAAACGCTGATCCTCTCCAGCTGCAGCGCAGAGTCGCCCACGTAGCCTCCGGCCGGGTCGATACCGTGTTCGTCGCTGATCACTTCCCAAAACTGGCGAGGGCGCGGCGAAAGGAGAGTCAATCGAGGAGCCCGGGGAGCCCCCGCCAGCCGCCACCCTGAGGCCACCAGCTGAGATGCGGGCCCGGATCCCCTGGACCCGGGGGGCCCACTCTCTGGGAGGGATCCCCTGGACCCGGGGCCCACTCTCGGGGAGCGATCCCTTAGACCCGGGGCCCACTCTCTGGGAGGGATCCCCTGGACCCGGGGCCCACTCTCTGGGAGGGGTCCCTTAGACCCGGGACCCACTCTCGGGGAGGGATCCCTTAGACCGCCCGCTGGCACCCCGGGTCCACTCCAGGACCAACTCTCCGGAGCCTTTTCTCCCGGGTCTGACCCCCTGGACCGCCCGCTGGGACCCAAGGCCCACTCTCCAGGACCAGCTCTCCGAACCGGTTCTCCGGGGTCTGATCCCCTGGACCGGCCGCTGGGGTCCGTGACTCTCCGGGGCCGGCTGTCTCGGGCTTACTACCCAGGACGCGCGCCGGGCAGTCCCAGACTCTGAGGACCAAGGCGGGGTCTTCCGAGGCCAGCGCCGCAAGCTGCCCACCCGAGCGCGCGCCCCGGCCCACCTTGGTGCCGATCTGGTTCCCACACTGGCCCGCCTGGATGTGCACAATCTCCCTCATGGTGGGCGCGTCTGCGGTCGGGCTCTGGCTCTCCCGACAGCGGCTTGACTGCGCCGGCCCCGCGCCCCGGGGATGGTCCACTGCTCGGCCCTCCGCCCTCGCCGACCCAGCCTATGGCAGCCGGCTGCCCCACCCCTCCCACCGTCCCCGCCCTTGTCCCTAGGACCGAGGGGTTGCGCTTCACCCGGCTTGTGGTTCTCAGGGAAGAACCAACAGCTGAGGGATCCCGGCTCCTGTGCCAGGCCAGGGAGGGTGGGCCGGAGGGGACTCCGGAGCGGGGAGGCAAAGGAAAGGATCAAGGCTCCGGTTCCAAGACACTTTGCTGTCTCTCGGTGCTGTTTGTCCCTGGAGGAAACTGGAACCCAGGATGCTGGTCACCTGCCGTCTGAGGCCCCTGGGTTGGCTACAAGGCGCTTAGGGAGCGCCGGGAGAACCACCCGCACGCAGTTCAGCCGGTAGAGACGGCTTTTGGGACGCGACTTTGAATCGGGTTCTTAAGTTGCACGTCTCTGCCGGCCTCTCCATACCATCCATAAAGAAACTCCGCAGCTATATTTGAATATGAGCACCCTCATCCACGCAGCCTCCCATTCCTAATGAACATTGGAAAGCGACTGCCGGTTTCAGCTGGGCTCACCCCCATCCCTAACTCCCTCTTTAAAAAAACAAAACAAGGGGCTGGAGAGATGGCTCAGCGATTAAGAGCACTGCTCTTGCAGAGGACCCGGGTTCTATTCCCAGCGCCCACATGGCGGCTACGAACCGTCTTTAACTCCAGTTCCAGGGAAATCCGAAGTTCTCTTCTGACCCCCTGACACGGGTGCACTCACGTACATGCAGGCAATACACTCATACACATAAAATAAAAATAAATAAGATATTTTTTAAAAAGCCAAAAACAAACAAAAAAAATTGTTTCCAGCCTTGACATAGGGTCACTCACTGGACAGGTGGGGTGCTGGAGGAGGGAGAGGTAGGGGAGGAAACCAGGCATACAGAACTTGTCTTTCTAGCCTCAGAAGCAAGGGAGGGTAGTATCAGAAGATGCAGGGAGCTCTCCCTCAGGAAGGAGACAACCTGCTGTGCTGAAGACCTCACATTTCTGGTATGATGTGGCTCCTGAGTATCTGTATCCTTGACCTCAGATGTTGACTTTGCCAGTGTTTGTTGGGTATTCCATCCTGGGAGCCTGTCCCCAGCCCCTCCAGCTTGTCACTGGGTTTCCTACCCTCCTTCTTAGATGCCCTCACTTTCCCTTAAAGACTGGCCACCAATGGCGATGGTAGGCATGTCCTGCCACCAGGACACCTAGAATTCTCTGGAATCCCATGGGAGGCCCATCTGGGAAGGCTGTCACAAGTCTAGCGGGGGAAATACCAGCAGATAAAACTCAGAGCATCCATAGGAACACAGGTAGAGAAGAATGAGCCAGGATGATGACTGGAGGTGACTTGCTTTTCAGTCCTTGTTCAGTTCCAGTCTGTTCTGTGGTAACACACTTCACTTCTCTGGCCTTCCTTTTACTCACCTGTAAAACAGAAGGCTTATCCTGGGGACCGTCAACAGGGTCTGAAATGCTAGGATTATTTGGCAATTGTAGCTTATGTATTTACCAAGGACACCCAGGTTTCCTCACAAGAGTGCTTCCTGTCAGGGAAATCTAGAAACTTCCTGTATTCTCTGACCCCAGGCCCAGCAGAATGCCACACAATGAGGAAGCAGCTAGGATCTGTAATTTGCACCAATGGTTTCTTTTTAGATGTATGAAAACTTTGAAAAAATCCTAACGTGGGGCTGGGGCTATTGTTAGAGTGCTTGCCTGTATGCAAGAAGCCATAGGTTGAATTCCCAACACTATATAATGGTGTGGTAATACATCCCTGTAATCCCAGCACACAGGAGTTTAAGGTCATCCTAGGCTACATATCAGGCTTTAAGCCAGCCTGGGTTACATGAGACCCTATCTCAAAAAATAAAAGAAGAAAAAGAGAGAGAAAATGCTAATTGTGTGTGTGTGTGTGTGTGTGTGTGTGTGTGTGTGTGTGTGTGTCTTTGAAAAGGGGTGAAAGACATCTAAGAACTTGTTTTCTTCTGGAACTTTTCAAATGTTTCCAAATCTGGGTATTGTTTTACGCACTTTATCAGTCTCCCTACCCTAGTGCTGTTCCCCTCCCTTCTCATGGTCCTTAGATCTCCCAGGGAAGCAGGGAGGAGGCCATAGCCTTACCCAGGCCCCTCGAAACTGTGAGCCTGAGCTTACCCAGTTCCCACTGCAGGGCATTCAACACTCTCATTTTAGGCTCCTGATGTCCTCACTCAGTGTAATTACTGACTCCAAGTAAATGCTACTTTTCCCATCTGCCTATAGCTGAGTCTAGTGTGGGAGGTAGCCATGGAGGATCTGTACAGTCCTGGCGGGGGGGGGGGGGGGGGGCTGTCCTTCAGCTTGGGCCACTTAAGTAGTTTAAAGCACAGTATTCACTCTTCAGAGGTTTCTGTGGTTTGCTGAGGTAGCTACCTCTACAATGTGGTCCCGGGGCTGTGATCTGAGCCTGCAGTTTCTAGTTGTTCTGGAAAGTGGGAGCCAGGGTTGGTTTCAGGAGCTCCACTGTAACCTGGATTTTAAAAGGGACAAGGTGACCTACAGAAATTTCTAGAGGCCCATTGGCCTGCTTACTACACTGTGGTGGCAGAGGGTAAGAAGACAGTAAAGCATATTGCTGGATATTTGTACAGAATATATGGCGCTATCATGATTCTAGATAGGGACTCTAGCAGATGTGAAAAATGGAGCTCAGCTTAGACCTTCATCATCTTGCGACTATGGAATGAAAGGATTCTATCCCAGGTCTGAGGCCTGCCTCTAATACTGAGGTGGGGCAAGTGAGAATACACATGGGGGTCTACAAGGCTTGTCTAAATGTTTACGAGTTACAAAAAGTCATTGTGCTTTTCCTTTTCCTGTCTTAAAACATACATAGCCAGCCAGGCGTGGTGGTACATACCTTTAGACCCAGCACTTGGGAGGCAGAGGCAGGCAGATCTCTGTGAGTTCGAGGCCAGCCTGGTCTACATAGTGAGTTCCAGGCCAGCTGGGGCTACAGGGAGATCCTGTCTCAAAAAGACCAAAAAAAAAAAAAAAGTATTTTCTGGGGCTGGAGAGAGCTCAGCAGTAAAGAACACCAGCTGCTCTTGCAGAGGACCTGGATTTGATTCCCAGTACCCACATGGTGGCTAACAACCATCCTAACTACAGTTCCAGGGGATCTAAGACCCTCTTCTGACCTTCTTGGGTATTGCATAACATGGGTGTACCTATCTACATGCACATATCTCATACACATAAAATAAAAATAATAAATTAAATATTTTTAAAAGTATTTTTATTGGGTCAGGCATGGTGGGGCATGCCTTTAATCCCAACACTCAAGAGGCAAAAGCATTTGTATCTCTGAGTTTGAGGCCATCTTGGTATACATACCAACTTCCAGGCCAGTCAAGGCTACATGGTGAGACCCTGTCTCAAAAACAAACAAACAAAAAAGATACCCAAAAAATTCCAAAAGCAAAAGCAGACAGCCTAGAGTTCACAGGTAGGACATGGTGATATTGACAATCAAATCATGCTGAAGGATTTGAATAAAGGCCGTGGTGCTCAGTGATAAGTGGACAGATTAACTACAGTACCCACATTAAAACAAGACGCATGCCCTTTCCAGGGCACTGATATCACTGGCCTCAATACCTGCTGGCTTTCTCTGCAGAAGTTATAGGGAAAGGCAAGGAAAAAAACCAAACTCAAAAGCTGAGAAGCTGACTCAGTGGACTGGGGAGACAGTTCAGTGAGTAAAGCACTTGCAGTGCATGCACGGGACTTGAGTTTGAGTCCCCAGAACCCAGGCACAGTAATGTCTGTAATCCCCAGTGCTCTATGATGAAATGGGAGGCAGAGACAGAACAACCCTGGAAGCTCTGAGCCAGCTTGTCTGGCAAACCCAGCACCGAACAACAAAGGGATCTTGTCTCAAACAAGGTGGAGGGTAAGAACCAATGTGAAAGGTCGTATGCACATGCACCATGGCACACATGGGCACACCTGCAACTCACACACATGAACATATGCATACACACATGCACAGACATCATACACACATATCATACATATACATGAAACAAAACAAAAAGCCAACCCAACATTAATAGGGAAAGTGATCAAAAGAACTGGAAGCAGTTGTGGTCAAATGTTGCAATTATCTTACAGGAACCTTAACCTACCATTATTTACATGCTGAAGATCTATTAGAAAAGATGGATCACATGCATGAACAGATTGGAACTATGAAAGAGATAGAAATGCAGAGCGGTTGTAGGGAGAAGATGGTGGCTGTCATATGGAGGAGGGGGAACATGGAGGTGGTCAGAATGGTACTTTAAGAGGTGTTAGTGATGGAGTTTCTTATTTAGGGAGCATTGGTAATGACTGAAAATTCCAGTCATGATGATCCTGACTGTTAGCATATGAGAAGTTGCCCAGTGAGGCACGGGCAACAGGAGCATTTTGATGTATCTTTGAAATGGTGCGTGCACTCCTATCCTGCACATGTACTCCCATCCTGCGCTTTTATGTGCCGTGCCTGAGATGTCCACTGACTTCTACCAGTCAGGCTCAGTCTCAGACCCTGAGCAGGACCCATCTCCTCTATGGACAAAGGCAGTGGCTGACAACTCTTGGACCATTCTGAACAGGTTCTCTGGTTCTAGGCAAGTTCTTGCACACAGTCATGATGCCTTGACCTTTGCCAATGATGTTCTGGGCTAAAGAAATAATGGAGAAGGGGATCCTTCTCTCTGATAAAACATTCAGTCATGTAACACTAGGCTTGCTCTGAGAATGAGTAAGAAGAAAATTTATCTAACTCAATGAGGTTGTGGTCGGAGGACCTGGAGAAGTTGGCATGGGTAAGAGGATCCTGGCAGACTGGGAGAAAAGAGATAAAAAGAAAGATTCAAAGGTGGTGGGGGTGTGGTGGGAATGCAACAACAAAGCTCTTTTATAAAGATTAGTCTCAGTGGTTTTCATACTTTTTTTACTTGAATATAT